TTGCTGTGCACATTCAAAATGTTTAAGACAATTAGTTCTTCCGCTGACTGTGAGATTCGTGCCGTGATTAAATTGTTGAACGCGAGGAATGTTAAACCGGCCGAAACTTATCGTCGACTGACAGAAGTTTACGGTGAATACGCGATAAGTGATGGAATGGGGAGAAAGTGGGTAAGAATGTTTAATGCAGGTCGAACAAATGTCCACGCCGAGGCTCGGAGTTCTCGGCCTTCTGTTGTCACCGATGATTTGGTAAGGAAAATTGATGAAGCAATTCATGAGAACAGATGCTTCACAATGATAACTCTTTCAGAGGCATTTCCACAAATTTCACGTGCTGTTTTGTTCGAAATTGTGTCTGACCGCTTGAATTATCGTAAGTGGCAAGCGCTTTGGATCTGACGATGACACGAAAAATGCTGTGGAGTCGTGGTTATCGAAACTGGCGGGAAGTTTCTTTGACGATGGTATACAAAAACTGGTCACCCGCTATGACAAGTGCTTGATCATTGGCGGAAACTATGTTGAAAAATAGTTTAAGACATGTATTTTCATGTAAAAATAAAATTGGATTCGAAAAAATTGTTTTATTTATTTATTTGTTTTTTTCCAAAACGGTACTTAGTTTCCGAATACGCCTCGTATATAGATAGTCAGTAGAAATTCGTACAGAGATTTACTAAAAATATGTACGCAGTTTCTAAAGGTTCCAGAATAGAATTTAATATAGCAATCATGAAATCAACTAATACAATTAATTCTACTGAAAACATCAAATTCAATTTATAAAATATCATTCTAAAGAATTCTAAACTAATTTCCTTGATTTAATTTTCATAAAAGATCTCATAGAATATTGAACAGGATTCTAAAATCCACAAAATTTTCTTTCGGGACTGAAAAGAAAGAATTAAATTTAATTTTTAATAGAATTTTTTAAACCTTGTCTAAATTTGGAAATGATCTGTGACGTGGAAAGGAGAAATAAAAATTTTAAGTATATTTTATATGATTTTCTCCCCCTAATGGAAATTTTCAATTTCGCTTTGATTTCAGAAAATATTTAAATAAATATGAATACATCTTAAATTATAGTTAAGTTTTTAATTAAACTGAACTATAATTAAAATTAATTTTTAATTAAAATTGAGAGATCATTTGCCTTATCATGGGTGCATATACAATAATTAAAAGCATTCGTTTTAGAAATTAAAATTCTGTAATTAACAGCATAAATTTATTCTTTTAATTAATTTTATGATTTAAGACTCTTTTACAAAATTTAATTTTTCTATTATTTCGTCCAACGTAATGGCAACATTCTCCTTTGACCATCATACCTTAGAGGATGGCATGCTAATTAGAAAAAAATCAAACGGTTATTTTATATCGATGAGCTCACCAGTGACAGAGTAGTTAAGGTCACTAAATACTGGTAGTTCCGACCTGGATTTGAACCCAGAGAACTGTGTGGCTGCATGGTTGTTTTCCGTGTTCTTCTCCAAGTCTGACGTATACATAAGCCAGTTTTCCTCAGAAAGCCCTCCACACAGAACTCTTCTCCTTAGGCAGATAAGCATCGTATGCCATATTGTTACTTTAGCAATTATTTCTAGCGCTAGTAGCGGCATCAGCATCTTAGTTAACATGATTCAGAAAGGCAAATTAAAAAAGGAAATCGAAGAGAAAACAATGTATATGACTTGGAAGCCCTCAGCTGATCAATGTTTACGTTTACAAGAAACGTTTCTGAAAATTAGAGTAATCATAAACAATCGGAGAGAGATCATAGAGCAGTCAAAAAATTTTAGTTTTCTCTCTGCTCTCAACGAGTTAATGTCAAAACTGAGCAGTCAAAGAAGTTTAGTTCTCTCTTTGCACTGGACGAGCTAATATCAGTATTAACACATCAAAAACGTCAATCGAGACAAATGACTGGGGATTGAAAAAGAAGTTTGAACGTTGGACAGAACACAGATAGTTGGTTAGTCATTCAATTTAAAGCGTTATTCGAATTGTTAGAGAATCGAGGGCTTACTAGAATAGGAATAAATAACAATATTACAGCAATAATGATAATAGTATTTTAACCTTACAGTTAAAAAAGCAGGACAAATCTGCTGTATTGTTAACAGTTTAACAATACTATTAATTTATTAACAGAAGTCATAATTCACAAAGGTGTAGGCAAAAACTACTGTCAAAAGTCAACGCAGAATACTAAAATCTCATTCGACTAAATAAGGCATTGGGGGTAGTGATTGCAGTATCGGTACACATATTTCACAAGTGCACATCTGTGTAGCCACAGAGGGAGTGGCTTCTAGGATGGACCAATGAGCATCCAGTAATATTTCTGTCATGTCACATGACCCTTCGCGTGGCTTAAGATTTAAGCAAGATGGCTGAAAATATTCTGCCACGCAATTTTTTTGTAAAAAATAATTAAAGCATCGTCGATTGCTTCTGAAACTTTTCATTGCGAAGTTAGATCAAATATAGGCAATTATGAAGGTTTCACTACCTGGTTGAAATAAATACAAGCACATGTTGTCTACTTCGCAAATATATCGATGTGAAATATTGCTTAATAAATGGTAAATAAGATAAAGAAAGAAATATGTGATAAACATCTGAGCGGAAATGCAATCTTAACATAAAACTATGCGTATGAGAAAAATATTTACACCAATTATATATCTAAATAGAAGTGAGCACTTTTTATTGCAGTCTATATGAAAAAGATGTTCTATAATAATAACCATTGCAGAATTTTATTCAAAGTGACATTTACTAATTTGCATTTAGTGTGTTAAATTTCACATTTAATAACTGCTCACTCTTAAGTGCACTGTCTACACAAGAAATACTCATCAAGCAGAGTGAATTTATCTTATTCACAACGAGTATATTCAATTTATTCACATATAACTTTTAATTTTAACAATGAATATAATCAGATCATATGTATTCTGAATCTTACACTTTAAAAATCAAAAGAATGCAAGCACTGAAATAAGAAAACACTTGTAGGCAACAATTATTATTGGTCATAATAGCTACAACTACTTCTGCTGGATAATAACTACTACTTTCACTTCACCTATAGTTTTAGTTTAGTTTTCGAAGTGTTGTCATGCCTGAAATCAGTAAGGAGTTAGTAAACGCTACAAAGAATAATAAAGATGTTATGTATGAAAGAAACTGATTCTTCCTTTTTTTTTCTTCTTTTAAATTGTTATAAAAAAGAACTTTGCAAGCAACTACATTCTTGGTGACCTCGGAATTATTGATAAAGATGTCAGAAAGTGAAGAATCGGCGATTAAAGAAGAAATAGCACGGGTAAGTGTGAAAATACCTTTCTTTTGGGCTGAAAAGCCAGCGATATGGTTTTATCAAGTAGAAGCACAGTTTTCTATTTGTGGAATAACTGCCGAGGAAACTAAATTCAACTACTTAGTTTCGCAATTGGAAGCAAAATTTGTTGAAAGTTTGTGGGATATTATAAGTGACAATAGCAAAACCAAATATACTGCTGCTAAAGAACGTCTCTTGAACACTTTTAAAGAAAGTGAAAATAAACGCTTACAGAGACTGCTAGCAGGCATAGACTTGGGAGATACTAAACCTAGTCAACTTTTACAAAAAAATGCGAAATCTTGCTACCGATGGCGTTTCGGAAAGTTCTTAAAACACTATTTCTGCAGAAAATACCAGATTCTGTGCGCAATACTTTAATCGTTAGTGATGAAGATATCGAAAAACTGGCTCTAATGGCCGATCGTATCATCGAAATGCAGCCGAAAAAGAACTATACTGTGCCAGCAGTATTGTTTCTCCAGGAGCAGATGCAATTGCTGAATTACGACAACAAATTACAGCTTTGGATAATAAACTCGAAAAACTAAGTGTCACAAGGAATTCTCGTCCTCGCTCAAGAAATAGCAGTCGATCATCTAATGATCGAAGTAAGTCTCGGAGCCGTTATAACCCTAACGGCAAGTACTGCTATTTCCACTTTCGTTTTCGAGAAACGTGTTTTCCTGATAGATGCAAAGCCCCCTACATGGAAAAACAACTCCCAGGAAAACGAAAATCAGCAGTAGAATTAGCGGCAGACTCTGCTGCTGTAAATAAAGAAAATTGCCATAAATCCCGCTTATTTATCACGGACAAAAAAAAAACAGGTTTACATTTTCTGGTTGACAGTGGAGCAAAGGTAAGCCTTATTCCTCGTACTTCTAAACACAAACTTATTAGTGACTATAAATTATATACTGCAAATAATACAGAAATCGATACTTTTGGTACAGAAGTTTCAATTCTTGATATTGGTTTACGCCGAGATTTTCAATTCCCATTTATTGTAGCAAAAATTAGTAAACCCATATTAGGTGCAGATTTTTTAAATAGGTACAATTTATTGATTGATATAAAGTATAAAAGGTTAATTGATGGTGTGACGAACCTTGCAGTTTATGGTGACATCGCACCCATCTCTATTAATGAAACCGTAAATACAATGGGCAGCTTATGTAATTATTCTGATTTATTTGCTATGTAGCCTAGTATCACAAAACCAAATTTTCTTATTTCTTCTGTAAAGCATAATGTGAAACATCATATTATAACTAAAAGACAACCTGTAAATTGTAAAGCAAGACAATTAGACCTTAAACGGTTGGCAATAGCTAAAAGAGAATTCAAATATATGCTAGACAATAACATCATTAGTCCGTCCAGTTCAGAATGGGCATGTCCCCTACACATAGTGACAAAGAAAGACGGTTTTTTTCCGCCCGTGTGGGGGATTACAGAAGACTGAATGATTTAACTATACCTGATCGTTATCCCATTCCTCGAATTCAAGATTTTCAACATATTTTAACTCACAAAACTATATTTTCTAAAACTGATCTCTTTAAAGCGTATTTTCACATTCCAGTAGCAGACGAAGATAAAGAAAAAAACTGCCATTATCACACCTTTTGGGCTTTACCAATTCAATGTCATGAGTTTTGGTCTCAAAAATGCCCCTGCGACCTTTCAGAGGTTCATCAATGAAGTTTTTTATGGCATAGACTTCGTGCTTCCATATTCGGATGATGTGCTGATTGCATCTTCTTGCGAGGAAGAACATCGTTTACATCTTAAAACAGTTTTTCAGCGTTTAGATAAATATGGTCTCCGAATTAATATTAGCAAATCAGTTTTGGGAGTACCTGTAATAGACTTTTTGGGCTATCAAATATCTGCTGAAGGTTCAAAATCTCTACCTCAGAAAATTAAAGCTATAATAGAATACCCATGCCAGAAACTATACACCAACTTCGTTCTTTCTTAGGACTGATCAATTTCTATCGTAATTACATAAAAAATGCCGCAGAAACTCAAGCTCCTCTTCATGAACTTTTGAAAGGATCTACAAAAAAAGATCGACGTAAAATACTATGGACCAATGAAACCAGAAAAAGTTTTGAAAAATGTAAACAAGATATTGCTCAAGTAGCGTTGATGGCCTACCCCAATTCGGATTACCCTCTGGCACTTCTCACAGATGCATCTGATTTGGCTATTGGGTCAGTTATTCAACAAAAAGAACCAAATGGATGGAAAGCCTATTGCATTTTTTTTTCAAAAAAGCTTAATGATGCCCAGAAAAATTATAGCGCTTACGATCGCGAGCTTTTGATCCGTTAAACACTTTAAACATTTACTTGAAGGCCGCGATTTTACTATTTATACGGATCATAAGCCCTTAACGTTTGCTTTTAAGCAGAATAATAACAAAGCATCTCCCAGACAACTAAGACAGTTACAATATATCTCACAATTCTCTACTAACCTACGCCATATAAGTGGTCAAAACAATGTGGTTGCAGACAATCTATCTAGAATTGAGGACATCGATTCACCTGTTGTTGATTTTGACCTGATAGCAGATGCACAAATTAATGATGATGAACTGCAACAGTTGAAATTACATTCCAAATCATTGCATATTAAACAGCACCAATTACCATCAGGAAAACTCTTATATTGCGATACCTCTACTTCTAATATCAGACCATTCAAACCTAAAACTTTTCGGATGAAAATATTTAATGCAATTCATGGTTTAGCTCACCCTGGAATCCGAAGTACTGTAAAAGAGATTACTAAAAGATTCATTTGGCCGGATATAAAAAAAGATGTTAAGCAGTGGGCCCAAACTTGTATCGATTGTCAGAAAAATAAAGTAACTAAACATACAAAATCAGAATATTCTCAATATCAAGCACCAGACGAAAGATTTAGTGTCGTGCACATTGATTTAATTGGGCCTTATTCACCTTCTAATGGATACACTTATTGTTTGACGTGTATTGATCGGTTTACCTCTTGGATGGAAGTGGTACCGTTATCAAATATCACAGCAGAAAGTATAGCAAGAGCCTTTTATGAACATTGGATAACACGATTTGGTGTACCTTCTTGTGTTATTACTGACAGAGGAACTCCATTCATTTCGGAACTGTTTCGAAATTTGGCTTCGCTATGTGGAGTAAAAGTAAACCATACAACTTCTTACCATCCTCAGAGTAATGGGAAAATTGAGCGTCTACACCGTCCTTTAAAAACAGCTATTAGATTTCATAATTCTCTTCATTGGACAGAAACATTACCAACAGTTCTTATGGGTTTGCGAGCTGCTCTACACGAGGACTGTTAAGTATACAACAGCTGAAATGGTTTATGACAAAACTATTAAATTACCTGGCGAATTTTTTGAAGAATCAAACATGCCAATGTCTAATGATAATTTTGCAAGTAATCTTCGAAATCAGATGGCCCTCTTAAAGCCCTATCAATTCAAATCCAAATGTAAACGAAAGATTTTCATCCCAAAAGATTGGCACACATGCTCGCATGTGTTTCTACGGGTTGACAGAGTAAAAAAACCTTGTAGCCCCCATATGAAGGACCCTTTTTGGTACTGAAAAGAACCCCAAAATATTTTCTTCTATCAATTAAAAATAAACAAGTTAGCATCTCTGTGGATAGGTTAAAATCAGCTTATGTGTTACAACCTAATGAACTTTTGTCTCCAACTTCAAAAAGTGATCATACATCTGTGCCAAAACAAACAGCAAACATCAGTGCCAAGTCAGCAACTAGAACAACCTAAAAAATTAACATGCCTGTGGAAGACAAGTAAAACTTCCAGTTCGTTTCAATGACGTTATTGACTCTTCTTGAACTTAACTCTTTCATATTAATTTAAACTTAATTATGTTTTTCTTTGTGTACATAATTTCAATTCATATGTTTGTATCAATGTTATTTGTATAGATATTTTTATCTTCTCTCCCACCATGTTTTCAGAGTAACGTAACTTTGTTACTGGTAGGGGAGTGATGTAGGCAGCAATTATTATTGGTCATAATAACTACAACTACTTCTACTAGATAATAACTACTACTTTCACTTCACCTATAGTTTTAGTTTAGTTTTCGAAGTGTTGTCATGTCTGAAATCAGTAAGGAGTTAGTGACGCTACAAAGAATAATAAAGATGTTATATATGAAAGAAATTTATTCTTGATTTTGTTTTTTTGCCTTTTAAATTGTTATAAAAAAGAACTTTGCAAGCAACTACACACTAAATTCATTGTAACACTTTCAGTCATTCTCATCTCAGTTAAAAAAATATATATACTTGAATTCTCTTAATCCACATAATATGCCGTGAACATCAATCCAAATATTAATGCGTGATAAAAATCTCGAAAGTAAAATGTCAGCGATTAATTAAACTCAACGAAAGCACTACAAGATTTCCACTATTACGTCATATATTAATAACTGCGAAACAAATGCAAATTAAAACGTAAACAACATACGCTCACATGCACGAAGATTTAGCGTCACAAGAGCAATAGCAACTCATTGGTCCATTTTCGAAACCCCTCCCTCAGTGGTTGCGCTGATGTGCACTTGCGAAATATGCTACCGGGTACACCGGTATATCGAATACCGGTATCTTGCGCTATTTTGCAATTTCATGAAACTGGTATTTGCTAAGGTTAAAAAGCGGTATTTTCAGTATTAGCTATAAATAATAAAATTGTCACAAACAATAATACCAAAATAATATAGAAATAGATTTATCCGAGACCGAGTTGTCAGAAAATGAAGGACTTCGAAGCAAATTTAGAGAAAGTGTATCGCTCATTATCAACAATGCCCCCCAACCAGAGCGGATGTAGAAAGACCTTTTTCAACTGCAGGTTATTTTGTGCTGAGAAATACGTTCTAGACTTAATGCCAGTTTAATAGATGCGTTATATATTTTACGATGCCATTTCAAAAACATACACTTAATAAATTAATTTTCTCGATTAACAGTTATTACATATCAGACTACCAAACAAGATTTTTATGCGATATTTACTCTTCTTAACAGTAATAATCTATGCTTTGTCCCTTTATTGTAATGTAATAACGTAATGATTTATTTTTATATAACGTTTCTTGTTTCTAACGTTATAAATTATTAATTTACTGTTGTTATTAATAATATTTGGTTATAACATTTGTTCCTTTATATTTTTTCCGTTTATGCATTTTTCATATAAAAGTAATAAATATGGAAAAGAAAATAACTGCGTTTTTTGAACCTTTTTTTAAAATTTCTTAATACAGGTATTTCGGTGCAAAGTTTAAAAAAATACCGAATACCAGTAATGTATTTTTGGTTCAATATTGCAATCACTAATTGGGAATGATAACACCTGGAGCACGGAAACCTATAAGCTCTTAGGCAAGGCAGTTATTCTGTTGGCTGAGAAGGAAAAAACTACTTAGAAAAAAGAATACTAAGTTCGGTAATACATCATATTTTTGGATAACTTAATGTCTGTCTTTTGATAACCTGATAAAGTTATTGCTCCTCTGATACTCACAGCCTGTAATAAGCCCTCTTGAATAATTCAAATGCCCCCAGGAAAGAGAATTTCCCTGTTTGCGAGACACTGCTCCAACGTACTGTGCTGTAAAGATAAACCTAGCAAAAAGCAATCCACAGGAGTGAACATAAATTTATCCACCTTTTCAACGGAATCTTCTTTAGCGAGCTCTTTAATGCATGCAGAGATGGTCGACATTAATTCACAAAATAGAGTCGGCGAGTATAAACAACATCTGACAACTAATGATAAACTTTGTTACTGAGGAGGGTAAATAAGTGAAGAAATTTTAGTAGAAAACGGAATGTGCGTAAATTTCTAACGGAAAAGGTAGCGCAGAAGATGACGTTCTACCCGTAATGAATGGATTACATTTATCTCTTTCTTCGAGCTCAAGGTGATATAGAAATTATTTGGAATAATTTGCGTAGTCTTGAAGAGAATTTAGATATAATGAAGAGGAAGAGGGGAGTAGACTACTATTGAAGACATTCTTAAATGGATTTTAAAACGATTTTCATTGTAAAACAGCTTCAGTGTGTTAGCTAGAGAACTGTTTCTATTTAACGAAAAACTGACTAGTATATTAGAATATTAGAAAGAATAAATTTAAGCACAGAAACTTGATCTTTCTGAGCTTAAATAGTTAGAAGCTATTTTATTATTTATTTGTTCATCATCTGTTTCGAATTTGCCCGCACATTGAAAACTCGACACCCGTAAATCTCCATATAAATCACTTATCTCATAACGTGTCGACCAATGACAGTTTTACTGTAAATTATGCTAATTAAATAAATTAATAAAACTAAAACAGTGATATTGAATTATTAAAAAGTAATATTATCATGCTTAATTCATTAGGTTTGTTTGTGCAGACTTCTAGGTTTAACGAATATAAAACTTTCCCAAATATGAGTATAGCAACCGGGAGACCGCAGCAAAAGTTAGATTTCGTTATTTGTCAAAAATTAATTTTTTTTTTTTTTTTTTTTCTAAATTTGACATTACCAAAACATTTTTGTCATTTAAAATAATTTTGTAATTGGAAATATATAATTACAACCAACGATGGCGAAAACTAAAGGCCCGTAAGTGGGGTGGGTACACATATACACGTTTGGAACTGCCTTTAAAAATAAAAAAGGGAGGTGCACAACTAGATGTTATAGCAGTTTCATATACAAAATTTC